CAGGAGATGACATAGGATTTGCCAGCTGGGGATGGAAGAAGGAAGCAAACTGGCTGGCATGGAGTGGTTTCACAACATCAATGTCCACCTGGTCCTAGGGGCTGTTGTGATGTTACAGTGTATGGGCATCTGTAGGGGTGGATGGACTGATGTGCTTTCCAAGGCCCAATGGATACCGACGCACATCTGGACGCATCCCAGTGAGCATCTGGACCCCAGTTTGGAAGTGCCATAGAATAGCAGGAGCACCCAATGTGGCATCGTAAGTGCCAGATGTATAGCATTAATGCCCATTGCACATTGGAGGACTCTTGGCTATGCCCAGATGCTCTCGGCGGCTTGGGAAGGGACTAATTTTGAATTTTATTGTATTTTATGTATTTTTATTGCTGTAACCCACCCGGATTCTTTGTGGGAGGGCTATAAATGAATAGTTTATTATTTATTATTATTATTTTGAATGCAAACAAATATGGGAATACTCTGAATATGGTACCTATTTTGCAATTAGCAATCAGGTAGTGTCCTGGTTGTTTTTAGTTACTTTGTTATGTTGTTTTTAGTTACTTTTAAAGCAGATTGTTATGACTTAGTTAACAAGTGTCCAGTGCCACAATGTAATTATAACCAGTTACAACAAATGGGGCAATGTAAACATAAAGGGTAACTGTAAAGGAATAGTTCACATATAACTGTGAAGTTTATATAGTAGAAGGATATGCCACCCCTCCTTCTGTAACTATGGCTGCATCTGCACTGCAGAAATAATCCAGTTTAATGTCATTTTAACAGCCATGGCTCAAGGCTGTGGTGGCCAGATTCTTGAAAGCTGGAGCTCTCCATCAGAGATGGGAAAAGATTGTTTGGAAGCCAAAAGAAACCAACCTTCTTGGACAAGAAAAGTATCCCTCTCCTTGGGGTCTAACTCTCCAGCTTGGGATGGTGGGAGTTGTAGTCAAACATGTAGTCCAGCACAACTGGAGGGATGCAGCTTGGGAAAGGCAGTCCTAGCCATATGCATTTTATTTTAGAGCTGATAAACCAATTCTAGCAACTTTTTCCTCCTTCACCAGGAGCAGGACTTTTGTAAAGCTAATGCTTCTTAATTCCCTGTCCAAAGCCAAGCTTTCTCTCCATAAGTACTGAAAAAGGAAAAGCACACAAATCCCGCAGCAGATCTAGCATAACACTAGTAGATTTCGGGAACTGTCATCCAACAGATTTAGTGGAATCCTAGTGGATTCTGGGAACTGTCATCCAAACCCACCTAATTTTTCCAAGCTTGGTCCCAACATGACACCATTGGGTGCCAATCCATGTGGAAGTTATCCTCCACAAGTCCCATAGCAAAGCATAACACGGCATGAGTAAGCGCATGCAGAAAACCTGGTGCAACAGCTAATTCATTTCAGTAGGACTTAGGCAAGGGAGCATCTTGCTGGATTCTATCCTATGACTGGAATCCAGTTGGTGTCTTACGCAGGTATAAGCCTGTCTCCAAAAATGGTTGGACATTTTTGTCTGATGAGGAAAGGCCTCATTCATTCCAGACTGTGGAAGCAGAATTGCACATGGAGTGCTCCTGTGCATTGATGTCCATTGCACATGGCCATGTATACATTTTGTGTGCCTATGCACTTTCCTCATCCCACATCCATGCACATGTGCATTCAATTGTGTACTCAGTTGCACATGTTGTTATCTTGGTTCATTTGTGCAATGTTGCCACTCAGCACAAATAATGCACAATTCTGCACATTGAGATGCATGCTACAACAACCACATCCTGCAGAGATTTAGTTATTATGCTCCGAGGCAAAAAAATGTCCTGGAATGGCCTGGCAGACTGTTTCTCTGACCATAAGAACCTCATTTGCTCGAGGGAGAAGGGATGCAAAATTGCTACCAAAAAATGAAGAAGAGCAAGAAAGACCATGCTGAGGGAAGGATGCTGGGATCCGTAGTCCAAAAAAAAAGTAAGTGATTTTCTGAGCTCTCCATCTTGGAAAGCCAGCAAGATAGCTCCCAGAAATCCAGAGACTTTGTTCATATTTCAATTTGATGGTGTGCGCTTTT